CCACCATGTGACCCGCCCAGTCTACTCAGAGATTCGTCCTAGGCCCCAGCACCTCTGACTCTAGCTCCACACCCCTACCCCAACCCCAACCCAACACCCAGCACCTAGCAGCCCACGCCGAAGCTCAACCCAGACTTGATTTCTTCTCCAGTGCTCAGATTAGTGTACCCAAAATGTTCAACAATTTATGCACACTATTTTAATAGCTGCCCAGGACAAACATAACCTTAACTTTTAATAGCTATGTTGCTTCCGTTTGCTCCCTTGTTTGGAGAATCAATAATAGTTACCATCGCTGGCAAAAAACAGTGTTGTGACGAGTAATCTCAAAAACGGATATGACGATCGAATTGAGGAGGTGAAGAAATGATGAACCGATAATCTGTAATTACAAGCATATTCTTTGATTTTGAGCTTGAAATTTCTGTCTGGGACCAATTGATCTGAAATTGTAGCCATCGATCTGAAACGGCGGCTTCATGGGACAGGGGCGATGGCGGGAGAATAGAGGTGGGCAAGCGAACGTGGTTTACAGACAAGAAGAAAGTAGAAGGATTGCATCAACGGGTGTAGCCAACGCCACCATCTCTCTTGGTAGCCACCGCTATTGACTGGAGAATCGATGCAGAAGAAGGATGAGGTTGGTCGTCATCTTCGTCGCAAGGGCTCGCCGCCATCTTCCTAGCAAGGGCTGATCGCCATCTTAGTTGTAGGCTCCAATTGTCGAAGGAGAAGGTTGGGTAGCGCAGAAGATGAGCGGACTTCGACAGAGAAAAACACAATAACACATAATTATATTCAAAAAATACGCCCTACTTCCTTTACATACCTATTGGCCATAGATCATGAAATACATCAAGATTCTATACTAAAAAGAGTCTGTACTATAAGCAACCCTTTGAAAACCCCTGATGATTTACCATCTTCTCTCGCATTTGGATATATCACACATGTGTTTTCACTTACTCCTTCCATCACAATATCAATCTAAGGCACCACATTCAAGTGGTTGAGATGAATATCTACACAATTTTTCAAAATGAAGTTACATTAGAGGATTTTTATTGCAATGTCTGACAGTAAAATAAAATGAGTAATCATGAAAAAGAACCACTAAGCAATTTTAGGTGTAGAACAATTTTGCAGGAGAAAAGGGAACCTGGAACCTACTAAGAGTGGTAAATAAATTTGCTAATTATTTATAATCTATTAATACCAATGTATTCGCCCGACCATCTCAGGTGAAGCGCCCTTTATCTGCTGCCCCGTGAAAATGAGGATGTAAAGTAATTCATATAGAGTGAAAGAAAGAACAAGATAGTATGTTAGTTAATTCATATAAGAAAAAAAACCTAACTAATATTGCATATAGTGTACACTTACTTGTGTTGTTCTTCATCTCCCAGTTCCTTTCCTCCCCTTTGGTTTCCATGTCCCCTTCATTCTTCCCTTCCCTTCCCAGGTCCCCTTCCCCTATCCCCTTCCTTCCCTCCTTCTCCACCCGTCTTCCCTCCAGCCCCTATATATATAATTCAGGATTTTTAATCCAACTAGTCAAGATATACGCATATATATATATATATATATATATATATATATATAGAGAGAGAGAGAGAGAGAGAGAGAGAGAGTCATTCTCCTGTCCAACAGCCTTCCGTCCGAACGCCGTCCGAACACCGCCGTTTGGGGCAGTTTCCGGTGGAATTGTTTGTTGAATTTTTTTGATCATGTTCCTCATCAAGTCTAGTTTATCCATACCAAATTTAAGCTTAAAATTAGATACGGAAGGAAGTCAAATAATTTGTTGAAGTTAACTGCGCAAAATTGTACCATAAATGATTTGAATGCCTTCCCGAACGAATTTTGAGCTGAAATTTTTTGTGGATAAACTAGACTTGATGAAAACCATACCATAAAAATTTTATCAAAAAATACGACCGAGAACCGCCCCAAAAGGCGGTGTTCAGACGGCGTTCGGACTGGGGATTGCTGGACCTAAGAATTTCTATATATATATATATATATATAATTATTTGATCATTTTATATCATTTGATCCTAAATCTATCTATCTATATATATATATATATATATAGGATCAATTGAGAACAATGCTTAACGTGAGAACGTGAGAACTAGGGTTGGACTCGGGCCGGGCCAACCGGCCCAGAACCGGACCGGGCCAACCGGCCCAGAACCGGACCGGCCCGCTACTGTGCGGGCCCGGACCGGCCCGGTGAACCGGTTGGTTGGCCGGTTCGGGCTACCCGGCCCGGTGGGATGGCGGTTCGGACTTGGGCCCTTCAAAAGGTGAACCGGCCCGACCGGTTCGAGCCCGGGACAGGCCAATTTTTTTTTTTGTGATTTTTTTTAAGTTTTTGGGTTGGATTGGGTATTTTGGGCCATTTGAGGTGGTTAGGGTTGGTTTGGGGGTGAGGGGGAGGGTTAGGGGTTAACTAGGAAAAGCCAAAAAAAAAAAAATAGAACTGAGGCCCGGCCCGGCCCGTACCCGGGGGTTACCCGGGCCGGTTTCGGGCCTCCCCTTCATGAACCGAGGCCCGGCGAGACCAGGCCCGAACCGGAACCGGTCCATCCCTAGTGAGAACACCACATTTACGCCACTGTGATGCACAATGAGACTCGCCCAATGCACGTGTTCGTGTTTGGCATAATATTTACCAAAATGCCACCGTGTTATTTATATTGGCTTGTTTTGAGCAAAGTCGAAATGTGCACTAGACGCGCTCTATTGTGTTTCACATTGGGTTAATTGTGAGTGTTCTCACGTTCTCACGTTAAGTATCGTTCTCATTGGAACCGCACCCTATATATTATATACTCCGTATATATCTACATAATAATGAAAAACATACTCAGTTCATATCATCCTGAATAGTGAATATAGTAGTTATCGATTGGATGCTATAGTTTATTACTGAACAGCAGATTAAAGATGAAAATGAACTTTACTATAACAATATCACCTGCACATATCGGAATGTACCAATATTGAGCAAAAGCTCTCGCACTCTTTGTTTTAGTTGATTTTAGCATCCAAGTTCCTGTAATCTTTATATACTTAAAAATGGAATCGTCTGATGAAAAACTGTTCCCGCCTTGCAAAACACTATCCACGTACTGAATTGCTTTTTAGTTAGTATTAAACCGCAATGACTGGCCACGTCTGGCTTTATTAATTGATGTGTAAACTTTGATTGCTAATAAAAGTACGTGGCATGATATGGTAGTTGAGAGTAAGTGTTGTTCTTGAAAATATACTAACGTGTGGGTTTGATTACCCTATTTGGTGGTTTATTTGACGTGCAGTTACAACTCCTTTCTAACTATTTCGCTCTATATACTCTGTATTAAGGAGTACATCTTTAGTCCATCTTGGGGTGATCAATACACTTTAACAAATATTTTGTACTACCTTCGTCCCAAAAAGATTGACCAATTTAACTTTTCTTGATCGATGATGTTAAAGTTTAGACAATGATTTTAGGTATTATATTTATATGTAATTTATAAATTTTATACCTTAATGAAAGGTTTTAAATGAAGTATAAGCTCATATAGTTTTCATATTTCAAATAATTTTGTATTAAAAGATATCATTGGTCAAAGTTGATCACGTTTAACCAAGAAAAATCAATTTGGTCAATCTTTTTTGGACGAAGGGAGTATATCGATTGTGATGTTAGTTTATGATTTACAATTTTTTTGCAGTCTGCTTAATTGGAACGATGATGTCAACATGGCAAACATAAAAAGGATTATAATTGATGTTGCAGTGTTCAGTCCATATTTTGCATATGGGTCAGAGCAACAAAGAAGAAATTCATGTCAAGCAAGTTAATCATTTATCATGGCGCGGTGGGGTATTCAAATTCAAATAAACTTTGGGATGAAATTCCAATATCATTGTAATATATTCCTATAATAGTTTAATTAGTATCCTAGAATATGCATACTTCTGAGGTATTTTCGCAGCAATGCAAAATTTAAATTTAACTTTTAATTAAAAAATTCATTACATCTAAAACTCATTACATCAGTTTATTTGAAATAACTCTTTTTTGTCTCTTAATCTGATCTTCAACTGTCTCTACGGAGTGTTATGAAGAAGGGATTGAAAACATTGACAACAAGTCAACGTAACAAACATTAATTACGTATTTCACACACTAGCATTTTAATTTCAATTGAACAACAAAGATATATAAAACATAAGGATATATTCATTCCGTGCATCGCACGGGTACCATACTAGTATGCAAAACACATTAATTAACTAAATTATCTGGTTAACATATACTTCAAATAAAGTACGTTCATCATTTATAAAATATTCTTACAAAAAGGCAAGTACCATGTGCTCTTCTAACAATATATTGAATCCATTAACACAAGAAGACAATTGTATGCATTGTTTCTACAAATGATCTTAACAAATTTGAGTACTTCTCATGAAATCTCAAATAAAACAAATTTAAAAACAGTTAACAAACATTAAAACATTAACACGTTATAATAAGTACTTATAATAAAAAAAATTGAAGTATATCTTAAATTTAGCTTATTCGGTCAAGAAACGGATATGTCAGACTCACTCATGATGCTGCAATCAAATGAAATTAAACCTCAAAATTATCATCTAAGTTTATGTTAACATAGCAGATTAATTTGATTAATACCTGCTTCTCGAAAGCATATACAAACTTGCTAATATGCATGGCTTGAAACAAAAACAATATTTTTAAACAAGCATTGCTTAAAATGTAAGATACCAAAGTAGGTGTTTATCGATATAATGCAATATGGATAATAAAGGTATAGTACATTCAAGTATGATAAGTAACTGAAGAATCCAAGAAGAAAGTAGTAGTTTATTAATGAAAATTTAGTGAAGGAATACAGAAAGTCACGAAAGGAAAGGTTTGAGACTCTTCGAGTGGTCTCTCACTCCCAAGATCCCAGTCCTGATCCCAAGTTCTGCCCCCCCATCTAATCCCCACTCACCCTTATTTATTCTATTTCTAATGGGCCAGCCCACTTCTAATAAGTTGTAGGGCCTAAACCCTATTATTGAACAAAACTAAAATGACTTAATAAGGCTCTAATTCTTGGTAGTGTTCAGGTCCCTAACATCACTCCCCCCTTTAACTTCCACCTTGTCCTCAAGGTGGATGATAAGAGACTGATTTTGCATTAGGTTCCAACAAGTTTTCAGCTCCATCCCGCTCATAAAATTGATCTACTGTGCCCTCCTCTTCTTCTGGCTCTTCCCTCAAGATCAATTGATAATGTTTCATTCCACAAACATGCTCTTTGCCCCATTTGTTTCCACATTTGAAGCATAAGCCCTTCTTGCTTCTTTCTTCTAAGTCTGCTTGTGTCAACCTTTGGCCACCTTCCCATGTCTTACTCGGTTTTGGCGATTCCTCCAGTTTGTTCTCTGAAAGTGTTCTCTCCGGATTTAACGCAGGTGTTCTTCCCTTTGTTGCGTCTACCCAGTTTCAGGGTCTAACCATTTTTCCTCCCTGTTCCTTCCAACCTATGTTGTCTTCTTCTTTATTTTTTTCCCTATCCACACCTTATTCTTCTGCTCCAACAACAAAGCCTTGTCCATCAGTTCAGTTAACCCACTGGTCTGGTGCAACTTCAGTTCCGTGCTAATTTCTTTTTTAAGGCCATTGAGAAACACTCCTTTTAACATCCCTTGGTCAGCAAGTTTGAGAGGAGCTACAACCATTTCAAAGTGATCCCGGTATTCCATTACAGAACCAGTTTGCCTAATACTGAGCATAGGACCAAACGGATTCTGCACTAAGGCAGGTTGAAAATGCCGGAACAAAGCATCTTTGAAGTTAACCCAAGAATGGTCATCAGTCTGTTCATCCCACCATTGGTACCAGTTCAGAGCTTTTCCGGCCATGGCTATCAAGATTATTTCTACTTTATCCTCTTCTGCCACATGGTTGAGTTTGAAATAGCGCTCAACCCTAATCAGCCATCCATAAGCATCGTCTCCACTAAAAAGTGGTAAATCGACCTTTCTTCCAGTATATACACGGTCGCTGATTCTCTTCTGATAAGGGCTGCGTGAAACTGAGTGAGATTCATGAGATTTACCTTCAGAACTAGAGGAGCTCACGCTTGCTGAAGTATGGCGACGACGGTTTGTGGTTGATCGTCCTCTTCTCTTATGGCGGTCACCCTGTAACATGATATTCTTCAATTCGGCCACGGTCTCACGCAAGCCAAGCAGTTCATTCACGGCAGTTCTCACTTCCGCTAGGGTGTTTTCCAGATTTTCCACACGTTGCTCCATTCTCGATCGGGTCAATACCATGCACAGGTAAGGCTTTTGTCAATGGCTTTGATACCAATGATAAGTAACTGAAGAATCCAAGAAGAAAGTAGTAGTTTATTAATGAAAATTTAGTGAAGGAATACAGAAAGTCACGGAAGGAAAGGTTTGAGACTCTTCGAGTGGTCTCTCACTCCCAAGATCCCAGTCCTGATCCCAAGTTCTGCCCCCCCATCTAATCCCCACTCACCCTTATTTATTCTATTTCTAATGGGCCAGCCCACTTCTAATAAGTTGTAGAGCCTAAACCCTATTATTTAACAAAACTAAAATGACTTAATAAGGCTCTAATTCTTGGTAGTGTTCAGGTCCCTAACAAAGTAACCTGCCAATATATAACTGTGCATACGTGGCATGGGAAATAGCCAATTAAAAAATAACAAATATAATATCTCTCTCCTTCTTTCCACGGTCTTATATGTGTTTGTTAAGTTTTTCTTAACAATGTCATTCAAATGTCTACATCTAGACATTGTGCTTGACATTGTGAAGAAAAACTTACAAAAAACTTACGGAAACTCAGTTCAACAATCACCAATAGGTTAACAACTGAGGCACAGAAAAGAGGTCGATCACCAGAAAAGGGTCACAAACTGAGGGCCATTCCCGATAAACCAGAGCAGCAAATACGATCTCCACCGTTCAGGTTAAAACCCAAGGTGTTACCGACGATCAGTTCAAATTTCAACTAAATCGGACACCGCTTGATCTTCGATCTTGGTGTTTGATCAAAACTGCGCAGTCTGAAATTCGCCTAGACCTGCACTATTTTCTCAACGTCTTTTTCTGTTTTTGCAGCACATCCATACATCAAAATGAAGCAAAGTACAAAACCCTTTAACAGGATTAAAAACTTGGGCCAAGAGCCATTATGGGCTGCCCCAAGATCAAATAAAATAAAGTTGGATTTTTTCACATAGGAAGGGATCCAAACCAGTTCGTATATAATGCATCTGGGTGTACGTACACCCGACCCAAGTAAGAAAGACGACTCAATCATTAATACAGGTCAAAAAAAATTCGGTGGCATATTTGTAATTTAAGCGAAAATTCACGGCTTTCTCTAAATGAGCAATAATGTAATTGTAATGAGCATCTGACCTATCTTTTTGAGTATGTAAGAGGCTAACAATGAGTTTCACGATCCCTGCTTCATATCTTCTAATTTTTTTTTCTTATTCTTATTTTTTCTTTTATAAGAAATTATTAAATTATATCTATAATACACTCCTATTAATTTCAATATGATAGTATAATGTCATATGATACTTTTGAAATATACATTGATACAACATTTTAAAAATGAGCATAACATCTTACCAAATGAGCATATGTAACTTACGAAATGCACATTGATAAGAAAATCGTAAAGTTTGTTAGTTGAACATCACGACATTTTCATTGAGCATCAAAACTCATATCTCGATATGAAAATCACAGTTTCTGTAAAATGAGTATTAATGAACTTTTAACGAGCATCCGATCAGACCTATTCTATTGAGTATTAAGAGTCTAATATTGAGCATCGTGATTTCTGCTTCATAACTTCTAATTCACTTTCAGTGAGCATCAAGCCTCCATTATTGAGTATTAGAATATGTGATTGAGTATCATGATTTGTTGTCTCGTGTTTATAATCAACTCTTATATAAATGTAATGTAATATGAGACTTTTGAAATGTGCATTGCTAAAACATTTTAAAAATGAGCATAAGAGAGATACTAAATGCACATACATAATTTACAAAATGAGTATTCAAAAATTGAAAAGTTCATTTGTGTATGTTCATTTTTTTAAGCGTTTTACTCATTTCAGTTTAAGGTAAAACTCATTTCTAATGTGCTCGGTATAATATATGAAAAAGAGAAAGAGGCAAACAAAATAAAGAAAGGAAAAGAAGTAAAAAAACAAAGAAAAAAAGTAAAGAAAGTAAAAGAAAAAGACAAACCCAAAGAAAGTGAAATCAACCACTAAAAAAAGTAAAGAAAATAAAAAACAAAAAGACAAATGATGGAGTATATGGCCCGGGAACACCCGGCCCACAGACTCCTACTACTCCAGTGAAAGCCCAAAAGGCCCAACAGGCCCAAATCACAGCGCCCAGAGTACCAAGCAGCCCGCAAAGCGCACCAAGGGTGCCTTCGGCCCCCCGGCCGAAGGCTCTAAACTCTCACATAACGGGTTTTCCAAGCAAACTAAGAAACCGGGAGAAAAACGGCGAAAAACAGTAGCCCTCGGCATCTGGAGCCCTCGGCACTCAGGGGTCCTCGCCACCAAGAGCCCTCGGCTAGTCCTCTGCAGCCGAAGGCACCTCTCCCGACATGATGTCCGCCTCACATGCGTACAGATCACCGTACCCTATACAACGTCCCATCCAACAGCCGCATTAAATGCGGCCACATGCGTTTGCGAGCGCCAACCGGATGAGGTGACCTCCCGGCCAATGGGCGCTTGACACGTGTCCCTGTCCGACATTTATTGCTACTATAAATAGCACCCCATTTCCCCATTTGTAACCACGACATTCATACTGAATACACTCTCTCTCTTACTTACTTGTGCTCTGACTTCTCTCTAGGTTATTCTCAGCAATAACCCCTCGGATATATACCCCCCCCCCGGGTACATTATCCATCATTTGGTGCTCTCGTTGAGAGCTCGAACAATCAAGTAAGAAACCCTCCCCCTTCGCCAAACACTAGCCCTCTACCAAAATGGTGAGAACAACACGTGCCAACTCCAAAAACGTGGAAGACAAGAACCTGGCCCTCGGCGACGTCAACGCCCCCGAAGCCTCTCACAGGGCTCCCGAGGGCGGTGTCATCGTTGGGCTAGAACAGGCGGCTGTCGACCTACGCCTTCAGATCCAACAGAATGCCCCTGATGCCCGCCTCGGCATCGAGGCCAAGAAGAGAATCCGGAGCGACGACCAAGTCAGCCCCTTGGTTCTCACCATCGACGTTCAATCGGCGCTCTCCGCCTTCATCCAGACGCTCACTCAGAACCCAGGTGCCTTCGGCACCCTGGCTCCGGCTCAACCCCAGGTTGGGGAGAACATCGTACTTCCCCCTCTGCCACGCCCCTTCGGAAACCCCATCCCTCGGGTAAGGAATGACGAAGGGGTAGTGGCCCAAGATACGACCTCCCAGGAAGTTCAGTCCCGGGATCGCCACAATGACAATAGAGAAAGGCCCCGCACTTCCGCCCTCAACCGGCTCGGAGGAGGGCCAGACCGCCGAGGGGTCCAAATCAACCAGACCCACTCGGCCCCCTCGGGACAAAGGCAAGGCACCCCTTCATGCCGATGATGCTCGCCACCAAATCAACCAGGCCCACTCGGCCCGGGTTCATTCGCAGGGGGCGGAGACCCTCCCGAAGGATCCCCGGGACGAAATTATTGCGGCCCTCCAACGCCGGCTTGACGAAATGGAGGCCAACAAAGCTCACGCCACCACCTCCACCCCTCATTCAGACCTCAAATACGAGGCCATGATGGCCAAAATGGAGGAATTACAGAAGAAGGTAGCCGAGGGCTCCGGAGAACCCGTCATCCAGCTCCGGACCCGGACGCCATTTACCCCAAGGGTATTGACGGCCCGGATTCCGGAAAAATACCGAGGGCAACACATACAGCCCTACAACGGGAAGACGGACCCCCAGGGGCATAGGACCGATGACTGCCACCAGCTAAAAACGGCCATCGAGAGATTGATACAAGCGGGGCACCTGTCCCAATTTGTTCAGAGCCCTCGGCAGGAGGGACCTTCTCATCAGGGACCTCCCCGAGGGCACCACACGAAGGTGAACGCTTGGGTGAACCCGAACACCATCCCCCTCGGCAAGAAGAGGGAGATCGGAAACTTGGAGGAGGAAGAGGAGGAGTACCCCCACTACCAAGAGAAAAAACGCCACATCTTCATGATCACCGGCGGCAATACAGGGGGCGATTCCACCAGTCAGCGGAAAAAGTGGGCTCAATCTCTTTACGTGGGGGAAGTCACCCATATGCCCCCGGTAAAGCGGCTGAGGGAGGAACCCATCACCTTCACCAACGCAGATCTCCCTCCTACTTCTTCTCCTCACAGGGATGCCTTGGTGATTCGGACTGAAATAAACGACACCATCATTCACCGAACTTACATTGACACGGGCAGCTCCGTCAATGTAATGTACCTCAGCACCTTCAGAGAGCTGCATCTGGAGAGGGGGTCCCTTCGGCCCATTAAGACCCCTCTTGCCGGCTTCACCGGCGATACTATTGATTCCGAGGGGGTAATAACCCTCCCGGTGTTCTTCGGCGACGGGCTCCATAGGGCCCAGCTCGAAGTGGAGTTTGTCGTCGTCAACATCGACTGCGCCCACAACATCATCCTCGGCCGGCCAGCCCTCGAGGACCTCGAGGCCATCATCTCCATGAGGCACCTCTGCCTCAAGTTTCCCGCCGAGGGGGGCATTGGCTACTCCCGGGGGAATCAGAAAATCGCCCGCGCCTGCTATCTTCAAGTCACTAAGAAGGTAAGTAAGACGGAATTCCGTGTTGACACCATCACCGGAACCGTCGACCAAGAAGAAAAGAGGCCGAGGGCTGAACTAGCCGAGGACATAGAAGACTTTGCGCTCGATCCGGCCCAGCCGGAGAGAGTCGTGAAAATTGGAGCCCAGCTCCCTGAAGATCTGAAGACCGGTATCACTGACGCCCTCCGCGCCTACTCCACTGTCTTTGCATGGGGGTCGGAGGACATGCCGGGAATCAGCCGAAGGGTCATCACCCACCGCCTCTCGGTGGACCCCTCGGCCAAAGCAGTACAACAACGAAGAAGACCCCTCTCCGCCGAAAGGAGGGAATTTGTGAAGAAGGAGGTCGCCATGCTCCTCTCTATTAAGCACATCAAGGAGGTGAAATATCCCTCATGGCTAGCGAATGTAGTCCTCGCTTAGAAGCCCCCTACCTTCCGCATGTGCGTGGACTACACGGATCTCAACAAGGCGTGCCCTATGGACCCTTTTCCTCTGCCCAATATCGATCAACTTGTAGATGAAACCGCGGGGTGTGAAATCATGTCATTCCTCGACGCATTCCGCGGGTATCATCAGATCTTCATGCATGAGGAAGACGCCGAAAAGACAGCCTTGATGACTCCCGAGGGCATCTTCTGCTACTTAGTAAGTGCCTTCGGCCTAAAGAACTCGGAGGCCACTTACACCCGGATGGTGGCCCGAGTCTTTCAGGCCGTCCTAGGGCGCACCATGGAGGCCTATGTTGACGACATGATCGTCAAGAGCAAGCAATCTTCCAGCCATGCTGACGACCTCCGGGAAATCTTCGCCATCATGCAGAAGTTCAACCTTCGGCTAAACCCGAAGAAATGCACCTTCGGCGTCCAAGGGGGCAAATTCTTGGGCTACATGGTGAGCCGAAGGGGTATTGAGGCCAACCCCGAGAAGATCAAGGCCATCATCAACATGGAGCCCCCACGCAATGTAAAGGAAGTTCAGCGGTTGACGGGCCGCTTGGCAGCCCTCAACCGCTTTCTATCTAAATCAGCGGAGAAGTCTCTACCCTTCTTCCAGATCATGAGGAAGACGGCTGGCTTTCTATGGACTCCAGAATGCCAGGGGGCTTTCGACGAACTCAAGCGATATCTATCTTCACCCCCTATGCTCTCAAAACCAAAGGTAGGGGAGACCCTCTATCTCTACCTTGTGGTCAGCCCGGCGGCCATCAGCTCTGT